CATGCTGGGGCTGTGTCCCACATGCAGCAACTGGAAGGATGTGCAGCTATGACATACAACTATCTACTGGGGCTTTGGGGGAAAAATAAAAAAAAAAAAAGACTGATGAGTTGGGGCCGGCCCAGTGGCATAGTGGTTAAGTTCACGTGCTGCACTTTGGTGGCCTGGGGTTCGCAGGTTCCTGGGCGCAGACCAGCGCACCACTTATCAAGCCATGCTGTGGCGGTGTCCCACATATGAAGTAGAGGAAGATGGGTACGGATGTTAGCCCAGGGCCAATCTTCCTCAGCAAAAAGAAGAGGATTGGCAACCAATGTTAGCTCAGGGCTAATCTTCCCCAAACACGCAAAAAAAGACTGATGTGTTTATCCCATAATAAACTTCAAGTTTCATTTCAAACAATTTACTAGCTGCCAGAAGTGTGATTCACGTTGGATGGCAGGCGGATCAAGTCAAATCTTAACTCTGAGCCTCCGCTCCGACCTAGAAAAGCCAGAGACAGCAGGAATAGCATCGTGGTCCCCTTATATCATCAGTACCTACAGACCTACCATATTACATGGAAGAGTGGGATGCAAACATCTAGAACCCTCTGCAGTAATCGTGTGAAAAAAACAAAAATGTATTTGCTTTCAGATTTTGCCAGTTTCCACAAGAAATTGTTCTTCAAATGGTGGAGAGATGTCGAATAAGAAAACTACAGTTACTTGCTCACCAGTATATGATTTCAAGTAAAATTGAGTTCTACATCAGTGAAAGCCTGCCTGAATATTTTGTGCCGTATCAAGCAGAGAGATTTCGAAGACTTGGGTAAGAATGAAATTTAAAATTTATCATGGTCACTCTTAACCTGACCAATTGCCTCAAAGCAATTAAAAACTAATGAATTGCCCCTTGCCTTGCTCTTGAGGAACTTGTCTTAAGAAGAATACTAATTAGAATTTGATTTCTGGGCTTTTTTCCTAGATTTTTTTTCATTCTAGACTTAACTTTTATTTAAACCCATTGAGTTCGGTAGGAGCAGAGGGGCAGTTTTATTGACAGCATGTTTCCATATCAACATGATCCTTGAGTTGCATCTTCCCTTTTAGCTATGTCTCTCTCTGTGACAACGAAAAGACAGGCTGCAAAGCCCGGGAACTCAAATCCGTGTATGTGGATGCAGTAGGACAGTTTCTTAAGCTGATTTTTCACCAAAACCACGTCAACAAATACAACATATATAATCAGGTGAGACTCACACACCTTTGCCTTTGACGGCCCCCACCTCTTTGCTGGATTCCATTGTCCTGTACCTCTTCGTAAAGGCGTCTTCCAAGTCTTCTATGGAGGTGGTCTCCTTTATGGAGAATGTTAAGCTCCTCTGGAGCCGTGCTGTCCCATCAGGAGCCACTGGCCACACGTGGCTGCTGCACACTGGGAGCGTGGCTGGTCCAAATGTGATGGGTCGCACGTGTCAACTAGACACTGGACTTCAGACTCAGCACGAAAAAAGAATCAATTACATGGTGAAGAGATAATATTTAGGATATGTTAGGTATAAATACATTATTAAAATTAATTCTATCTATTTTTAATTTTTTTCTGTATCTACTAGAAACTTAAAATTACATATGTGGCTTGCATTATATTTCTGTTGGACAACACTGTTCTAGATAAACCCACTAAACTTTTACAAGATAAATCCCATGGTAGAAATTGGGAACGTGGTTTCATGTTGCATGCAATCCAGAATCTCTCCAGCTCCAAGCTACTAGTTCTTAATCTCTTCCTCCTTCCCTCTCATTCTTTTCTTTTTTTTCGCATGATTAACGTAGTGGAAAAAAGTTGTGTCCAAAGCAATCTTTTAATTAGCACAAATATTTACAATACTCCCTCCCCTCCAAGAGGAATGCCAGCATCCCAGCGTGTGAAAGCTTTATACCAAACCAGTGAGTGGAAGGAGAGCTCTGAGTTATGTTGCTCCGTCCATTGCATCAGTGTTTGGCAGTAAACTGGAGGAATGATTCTTGACCGTTTTCTTCCTCCCCCCCATCTGCATGTATCCACCAGTAACATCCCGGTTACTTAGTTCAGTGACCGTGATGCTCAAGGAAGGGGGGGTATGAGAAGGTGACTCCTCCCCTCAGGTGAGAATCCCTGACTTAGACAAACCGAGCTGTGTTCATTTAGGTTTTCTTTTCGTTGTCTAATTTACCAAGATCATATAGCTGTGACCCCATATTTAACCTTGAGTGAATGGTTCAGTGTGAGGCTATGTTAAAACTTTGGAGGTTTTTCAGCTGTCATTGTTTTAATATCCTTTAAACATTAAAATAGCTGTTTGGTTCAATATTATATAATTTATAAAAATTATTAATAATAATTCTATAATTAACATGACATTTTACACTTAATGCGCTTTGATATACATTATCCCATTTGATGACAGTATGAGTCAGCAGTTTGTTATAAAGGAGGTAAGTGATCACAAACATTTTATACTTAATTTCTGTTCATTTAACTCTTTCTTAGGTTGCTCTGGTTGCAATAAATATCATCGGGGACCCTGCAGATTTTGGTGATGAAAGCAATATTGTAAGTTTGGGAAGCTTCCTTCCTAAAGAAGAAAATTTATTTCTAACAGGAGGGGATCATTTATTTTTGTCACAAGAAGTGTCATCTTAAAAATCTTTGTAAAATTGGCTGGTGAATAACTATCAGATAATTTTTAGCAGCTGGTGTATTAAACTTTCTTTTGCTCAAGAATTTTAGTTGTCCCGCCAAAAGACTAGGATCATTGAAGCTTGCTGACATCTTTGTGTCAAATCGTCTCTTAGTTAAGGTTTTGTGTTGTTGCTTTTTCCCTCTGAGACACTAAGCAGAACTCTTTGCCCCCAAAGACCTCTAGAGAGAAGCTCATTGATCATTATCTGGGGCACAACACAGAGGACCCGGCTCTGGAAGGAACCTGTACGGGGTAAGAGTCCCACTCACCCGGGGCAGTAAACTCCACTAACTCGCCTTAGAATCACGGAAGTGTGAGTCGTTTCCAAAGGATTCTGGATTTGAGGGCCTCTACATGCAGTTTAGAGCTGGATAAGCCACTGATGGGATTGTCTTAAATATACTTGAGGATTAAGGTCACTGTTTTATTTAGCACATCTTCATTTATTGCCCTTCAGAGATGACTTCATTTCTTGTGTGTTCAGGTATTACTAGAAAGTTCCTAAAATGCATTCAGATAAAAGATCCATCAGCCATCCTTTGATATTTTATTGGCACAGGCAAATTCATAGGTAATAATTAAAGGTGTTAATTGACTGAAATTACCAGTTACTAGAGACTTCATCTTATGTCTGTTTTAAAACTTTATTCTTTAAGGGAGTGAGAAATACGTATCATATCAGTTTTTATAAGTACAATTTTTACCAATTCCTCTTTACATTCTTCACATGAACAATTTTATATACTTATTCATTTTACTGCCTCTTTTTTTTAGCAGTATAAGGACTCTTGGTAGGTCAAGAGTGGAGGGCAAGCTAAGGAGCCCTGGTTTGCGTGGTTTCCTGGTTTTTCATCCTCTCTGTTCCCTGGGGACCTCTTTGGGATGGAGAGCTCCTTCAGTGCCCTCGTCATGTGCTCGCTGTTTATTAAAGCAAGGGGACCCCATACAAAAAGTGCCCGGCCTAAAGAAAAAGGAATTCAAAACAATACCCAGTTCCCCTTCTCTGACAGCTAGCTGCCCGATAACGAAAAGGTAAAACACTTAGGTTTTAGTAGACGTTTGGAATTTGTGCAGAACTTGTGGTTGGTCACTGCATATAGTCAAAACTTCTGACACAAAGTAATTAATACTTAAGCCAGGCTCTTCTGTTGGCATAAAATACGGAGTAGATTCTCTCTGGGGTTGCTCAGAAGCCATTGGCTCTGCCAGGTGTGCTCCCCGGTGGACAGTGAGCCTTGCTTCCTGCAGAGGCCTCCCCTGGCCCCTGCGGGCCTGGTCTTCCTGAGGACTCAGCCTGAGGGAGGCAGACCAGGGGCGGTCATGGGGTGGTTGTAAGTGTGGAGTGCTTAAAAAGTGGAAGCCGTTCTTACAGTGGGTATAGAAACTAATGATAACGGTGACTTATCTTGCCTACACAAGGTCCTCAGTCTCTACCTCAGATCCTTCCTGTGCCCAAGGGAGTGAGAGCAGCACCCTCCCTACCTTTCAAGCCGGGGTTGGAAACACTGGGGGAAAGCACTGAAGAGCAGATATTCGCTCTCCACCTCCTGTCACTGTGACACACCGTGGCTCTGCCCTCAGTGAAGCTCAGGCCAGAGGAACAGGGACAGCAAAACTCGCTGATCGGTTTCAGTCTCTCCAGTAGCCGGTCTTTGGGTCATTTTGATTCTGTTTAAGTCGCTTCTTTGTCCACTTAGCCAGGGGGACAGGAGACTGCAGCGTGCCTATCCTGCCTCACCCCGCTGGCTTTTTCTGCAGGTGAGGTGAGGTCTGTGAAAAGATTTTGGACCAGAGCTGCGAGGTCCTAGACGTGAGTCCGCTGGTTACCACTAGGGGGCCCTGTGTGGAAAGTGGAGAGGCTCGCGCCTGACGCTGCTGACTGCCCTGGAATCCTCACGTCATTTTTTTCTTTGTGGGATTTTTATAATAAAATAAAGTCCTTGTTTTCAACTCTAGGACTTCACAGCAGAGCAACTTAGACTTAAAAGTGTAACATATATTTAGATAGAAATAGTTACCGTGATCTTGTAGACACACTAAGATGTGCTGCTGTTTAGTCATCACTGAGATTAATTGATATTGTGCAAAGCTGCCAGAGCCATCCCAGCCGCCAGCCTGGTGCTGTTGCTGTGAGCAGACTGCCTGAATTCAGGGAGTGGGGAAGTGCTGGGGGACACTGGGTCATTTTGAAAGGTAGTGTTGTCCTATGTCCTGTTTGAATTTATTATACAACCACATTTTTTATGACAAATAATATTTTAATTAAAATGTACCTATATATAAAGATACCCAAGTCACAGCTCACAACTAGCTTGTTTCACGATGCAGCAGACTGGGAGACTCTGAAACTTGTCCTCCGTGGAACATTGTGTTGAGTAGTTAGACTAGCATTATTGTTCTAAGTGTTAGACCCAGAAGAAAGCTACCGGCCTACTATAGAATTTAAAAGAAAGAATAGAGGTGATACTTAATCAGAAATGGGTTATTCAGATAACTAAAAAGATCATTTATTCCTGGAAGAATCTGATCTCCTACAGGACTTGATGGTGATGTCATACAGGTTGACCCCCAGAGGGAAAAGCCCAGTAGTAGCAATTCTCCATCTTTAACGTTCATCACCATTCCTGTGGGGCTGGTGTGGAATATGGATGCCTGGGCTCCACCTGGGCCCACCACGTCAGACTCTGGGAATGGGGCCTGGTCATCCAGGGGCTTTGATTTTGGTTTTCCCCATCTGTAAACGGTTCACATGCACCGTTCTGTCCTCTGTGCCTAGAACAGAGCCTGCACAGATCTGCATTCTGAGTACTTGTTGAATTAATGAATGAATGAATGCAGCTGAGGCTCAGAGGCCTCAAGTGCAGTTTAATTAATGCTCAGGAGCATAACCTGTGGTGTCAGAAAGACTCACTTGCACTTCAGAGCTGTGTGATCTGAAGTCTGTTACTGAGTTCTCTGAGCCTCCGTCTTCTCAGGCAGGAAACGCTCCAGGAGTGGCTGTGGTGGGTGCAATTTTCACAACTGCCCGTGTGTCTTCAGCACTGAGCCTGTAGGGCTCCCTCTACCACTGTGATATCACATAGATTGAAATTGGCTCTAAATTATTCATTTCTTTCCTTTAGGAAATCTGACTATATTTCTCCACTAGATGACTTAGCTTTTGATATGTACCAAGATCCAGAAGTTGCACAGATTATACGCAAATTAGATGAAAGAAAACGTGAAGCCGTCCAAAAGGAACGTTATGACTATGCCAAGAAACTGAAACAAGCTATTGCCGATTTGCAAAAGGTACGGCTTCTGGAGAAAACAGTTTTTCTTTCATGCCTAGGTTTTCTGTTAATTACCATAGTACTTATCTTAAAACAAATGAGTGGGTTACTAAAAGCTGTGGAGTTAGTGTGGGTTCAGAGATCTAAGCAAAATAAAGTGATGGGCAGATGAGGCCTCAATAAAAATGTCAGTGAAACCATGTACTGTGTCTCTTCAGACTCACCTCCGACGTCATCCTCAGGCGCCGTGTTGCTATCACAAAATGATAGAAAAACACGAGATGTTTAAAACTTACCATGAACTCACGGGGCTTCTTAGAGCTGCTACAGCAACAAGCAGCACGATCTTTGCCGGCGAATCTGGTGTGTTCCCTTTGTTTTCCTATGCCGTTCCCTCCTCCCCACAGGATACGTAGATGGTCGTCGCCACTGTCGTTTAAGTGTCACTTTACACACTGTCTTTGCCCTTGACGTGAATTGGTCCGTACCTGAAACAAAAAGCGAACGCTTTGTGCCCCAGGTTGGCGAGCGTCTCGGGAGGTATGAGGTGGAGAAGCGCTGTGCGGTGGAGAGGGAAGACTACGACGTCGCTAAGGAGAAGCAGCAGCAGATGCAGCAGTACCGCAGCAGGGTGTACGAGCAGCTGGAGCTGCACAGCCTCGTGGACGCCCAGCCCGTGGGCGCCAAGGTGGGCGTTCCAGATGGGCAGACGGAAGCCTGTGGAGAGGTGCCCTTGTGGTGTTCTCGAGTTGGGCGTGTATTCCGTAAAATGGAAAGTGTTTGTAACGCTCGGGTGACAGTGGACAGATAACTCAGCTCTTGTGCACCTACCTCAGGCAGGTTTTCGCCTTGGCGTGCTCTTGCAGGAGGATTCACAGTCAGGGAGGAAGGGAATGAGTCAGGGGCCAGGAGGATCCCAGGGAGTCTCGTCATCTCCACGGCTCTCGGTTCCCTCGTTTGTAAAATGAATTGATGACAGCCCTGCCCCATGGACCCCTCAGGAGCGTCGTGAGAGAATAATCCTAACCACTTCAGCCTGTTGAGAATGTGTTTCGTGGGAGGCGCTGTGCCTCTGATCTTTAGAACCCACCCAGGCAGGTGGTATGCATCCCACACTACAGATTGGGAAACTGAGGCCAGAGCCACAGAGAAAAGTGGTTAAGAGTACATACTCAAGCCGGACTGCCTGGGCTCAAATCCTGGCCCTACCATTCTAGTTGTGTGATCTTGGATTAATTCCTTATCCACTCTATGCCTCAGTTTCCCTGTCACGTTTACAACAGGGATAAAAATGGTGAGCATTAAATGGATGTTCCGTCTAAAGCGCTGACCACCATGCCTGGTGCATAATAACCACTACGTCAGTTTTACTGGTTATGATGACACAAAATAACCTGCTTTTGCAGATACAGAGTAAATAGCAGTGCCGAGTTTTGAACACAGTCTATCTGGGGTCCAGCCCAGGTGCTTCCTGCCCCATCTGCTGCTTCTCCATGGCACGTCTGCGTGGGTGTGCTTCCACACTGTGGTGACCCATGCGCTAGTGCTCATGATCACACTAGTGCTAGTGGTGTGTGGTCACCTCTGCAGTCCACACAGTGACATCAAGAGACAGGTGGAGGGATGTGACAGGACTGTGGGCATCTTCAGTGTAGATTGTCACTCTCCACCTCCTAGACGATTGCTTACCTGGGGAATGAGGTGATGGCTCTGGTGTGGCGGTGGCACTGGGAATTAAAGCTCCTGTTTTTCCCCAGATGCGAAGGCCTTTTGACTCACCTCTCCAGCCCCTGGTTCATCCCAGCAGCCCTTGCCACCAGCCACCAACGCTCTTGCTTCCACAGCAAGAGGAAAGAGTGACGGAAAACCGGTTTGCAGACCCTTTCCTCCAGGAAAAGCCTTCCTCACATTCCCTGGACGTTTCTCCTCAGCACCTCACAGGAGACCAGGCACTGCCCACCACAGACCCTCATCCCAGGACTCATGTAGGTAACTCGGTTTCAGATTGTGTGCAGTTTATTCAGCAGACGTGTAGTGAGGTCCTGCACTGTGCTAGGTGCTTTCCCAGTGCAGGGACATATCGGGGTACAAAACAGCCACACCACTTCCTGCCCCACGTTCCAGGAGTGGGAGGTAAACACTGAAGCCAGAACATGATGATGTAAGCAACCAGCGCATGGTCCTGCCCCATGAGGCCCTGTCTGGAGCAGACATGCCAGGCCTCCCCACTCCCTCTGCCCCGTCAGCCAGTGATCTGGGACACACTTCATCCTTCTGAGCCTCTGCTTTTCTCTCTGTAGAAATGTACAGTCATCTGCTTAAAGGATTGTTTCCAGGAATAAATGAGACAGTATTTGTAACATGCCTAATATGAACTAACCTCAGTAGAACCTCAGTACAAGTCATGTATAGTTACTATACCTCTTAGAACTTTCTCTGTTGTAAGTAACAGAAAACCTGGGTCAAACTGGGAGGTTTATAGGCTTTTGTAACTAGGAACTTAAGAGATCATGTGGCTTTCAGGGTCGGTTTGATTCAGTAGCTCAACAGAGTCATCAAAGACTGGTTTCTTCCTATCTCTTGACTCTGTTTTCTGTGGTTCCAAGTCACCCTAGGGCTGGAACTGTCATGTGGCCCTCAGCTTCAGCTCTGTACGTTGTACCATCTGAGGGGGAGAGCATTTCCCATTCTAAGCCAGAGTCCCAAGTTCACCCTGATTAGATCAGCCTCAGTCATTTGCCAGCCTCTGGAGTGATGACGAGGTCGAAGGAGGGAAAAGAGCCTATTGGCTTGTTAGGGCCTCCCTGGAGCTTCTGCTGATGTGTGTGGTCGTATGGCCAGTGGACTCTGGGGAGGAAGGAAGGATGCTAAGTGGGCAGAGGCAAGTGTCTGCTGCAGCCAGAGGCCCAGGAAAGGGAGAAGGGACTGCTGCTGCCACAGCAAACTCCATGGCACTCATGCCCCTTGCACATCTTTGAGTGTCACATTATCCCCACCAGCAATATCTTGTCTATAACTTAATCGTTATAAGTTATATTTAATACTTCAATTTAAAAATACTCTAATTTCTCCTTTTTTAGCATCTCAAAGTGTTCTGTTTTGCAACTATGAGTACACTTTAGAATATGAGAAACTGATTCTCACACATGGTATGCACACAGTTGACATCTCAGTGAGTATTAATACAAATAAATAGTTACCCTCGTCTATTCAGTGTCACAGTGACACCTGCCTCAGAAGATGACTCAGGAATTGCTCTCTCTTTCTATTCTCACTTAATTACCCAAAAGTCTGCTACCTATTTACTTGTTTAATTATGTCTCTGTCTCCTCGATGAGAATGTAAGCCCTTGAGGATGGGAAGTCCATCTGGTCCATATGGGGCGTGAATTAGGTGCTCAGTAATATCTGTTGAAGGCCTAGATGGACAGAACAGACAGCTGCCTGTCCAGAGTTTCAGCAGGCACTGGCCAAAAAGGTTGTTTAAAGATCTTTATCATTGGCTGCCTGTTTTCAGTATAAGGCTGCTGCATAATGAACGTTTGAAATGAAGCTTGATATTTATTTCTAAGCCATAAACTAAGAAAATATCAGAGGTCTTGTCAGAAAAAAGTGTAATAACTTTTACTTGAGATCTATAATGAGTTTAGAAAGGAATAGAAACCCTGATCTAATTTTTTTAGTTGCATCCTATTGTTGTATAAATTATTCTAATAAGACTGATAGTTAGCAAAATACCATCGTTCAGACCAGGTGAGTCCAGAGCAGTAAGCCTGCGGGTGTAGATGCGGTGTTGGCGGGTGGAGGAATCCTGCACAGAACTCTGCAGCCGCCCTTCCTCTCCTGCAGCTCGAGCCCCTGCCCTACGATGAGCGGCCCCTTCCTGCCATCCGCAAGCAGCCTGGGGCAGCAGCTATGGAGCCGGAAAAGAGTGATGGGGACATCAGCGAGGCTCCCAAAGGAGGCATTGCGGGCGAGCCGGAGCCCTTAACAGAGAAGGCCTTGAGAGAAGCCAGCTCTGCCGTGGATGTGCTCGGGGAATCCTTGGTAAAAAAGAAAATACCATCTAAACGTGTACCTGTAATATAGCAAGGAAGCAGGTGGGAAAAGCTCCCAAGGCTTCATACTTGTGATATTGTTGATTTCTTTTTGTCCTCATTATTCAGTTGAAAAGTCTTTTGATAATTACTAATTATATGAAACAGCAGAAACCTAAGCTAGAAGTTAAGATTTTATGAATGAGTATTTTATTAAATGAGTATTCATTTAAGGCAGGTGTTTGTCTCTGGTATTGACAGAGCTAGTAGTGAGAATCAGCTCCCTTCTGTGCATAGCTCATTCCAGGGAAAAACAATGACAAAGCAAAACAAAAGATGGAAGTGTCTCCCTATTGAAATGAGCCCACTGGATTTTTCCCATAGTTCTCAGCCTCAAAATATTTCTGAGTGGAGCTTTTAATACTTTCCATATTTTAACATGGTCTTAAATTTTCCATGTTAGAAAAAATTATTTCTCTAAATACACATTTATTCTGTAGAGGTCCTGTTATTAGAAAAGATTTTTCCTCATTTGAGACAAACAAAGGCTCGGTTGCACAGTCTTGGAGGTGGTGACAATGTCATTGAAACGCCCACTCTGAGTAAAGTGGTACTCTTGGTCTGTGGTAGGTTGCTGGGGCCTATTCCAAGACGTGGTCATACCGGGAAGATGCACTGCTCGCCTTGTATAAACAGCTGATGGAGATGCCTGTTGGAACCCCAAAAGAAGATTTAAAGAGCATGCTGAGAGCATCGGTCTTTCTCATTAGAAGAGCCATCAGAGACATAGTGACCCCGGTGAGTCCCCTGTGACCCTCAGTGGCCCCAGTGTCTGCAGATGAGATGTATGACGTAGCCCAAGAGGTAGCCTGGTCAGCAGTATCATCGTCTACCAGCGCGATAACCAGGGATTGGGGTCTCAAGCAAGAAACGTCGTCAGTGAAGAGGCTGTGAGGTCTGTCTGTGCTTGGTCATTCTCTCTGGTTCTGAACAGCATTAACTTTTTCCATATGCTCTTCAAAGCCAGTGTTCACAGAGGCCTGATTCACTATGACTAAGAGACATTGAGTTTACATTTTTATTTTTCGTGAAGCCTGAGGAGCTTGGGAATTACTATGGAATTTTTCTAATTCAGAAGGGGCCTTAAGAATGAACATTCCACAATCACACATTGTCTGCATTTATATAGGAGCTTATCCAGTTAACAGGAATGTCAGATATTTGGCATCAAGGGGAAATGTTGAGTATTGTATGACACTGTGAAAATAAGAGCATGTGCCTTCCATGTGCAGGTACTGTGTTTAGAAAGCAGTTTTCAATTTGCTGTTTTCAGCCTTTCAGACAACATGTAATTTTCAATATAATGTCCATATTTATTACTAATAGTAAATTTCATGTTCACTTTTGGTGGAATTCAATTATGGTAGCTCATCTGTTGTTATCGCTTTTTTCTTAGGTCTTTCAGGCTTCTTTGAAATTGTTGAAAATGATAATTACACAATATATTGCTAAACATAAACTGAGTAAACTTGAAACAACTCACTGTGTAGAAAGAACCATTCCCATTTTGCTCACCAGAACTGGAGATTCTTCTGCTCGCCTCCGTGTTATAGCTTCAAATTTTGTTCAGGTATGAACATCACTGTAAAATTTGAAACCGTAGATAATAAATATATTCCTACAGATATTTGACTTTGTTAATGCCTTACAAGACTCTGTCTCTACTCAAGAGCATCCTGACTCACTCTCATACTTGCCTTGTGCTCCACAAGGTAAGTTCTGCCTTAGACATCAGCTTTGATTCAGATACACAGTTTGGTTTTTCTAGGGGTCTTCTAATTCAACATATGCTATTAATTTTTTCAATAAATAAAAATATATGGAAAACTGAATATGTAAAATTTGGGGGTAAAGAAATAATAAATGTATAACTGTCTTGATCTCAGTATTTTTGTTCTTTCAACAAACATGGAGTAAACGCATGTGAGGTTTTTGGCACACACTTATATCAAGCAGTGTGGAAATCTATTTTGCTGTCTTTAGCTAATGAATTCATCTAGTCTAGGAGTTCTTAAGTTTGGGTCTGTGTTTGAGCTTCACAAAGTCTGTGAATTCCTTAAAATTTTATACAAAATTTTGCGAGTGTGCACACCTTTCTCAGGAAGGAATCCAAAGTTTTCATAGTTTCTCAAAGGGATCATTTTTCCAATGTGAAGAACCACTGATCTCGTTTCATTTAATAAACTTAAATTTTAAGGGAAAATCAATAAGGAGAAATAAGTAATACTAATTAGAAGGTAAAATAAGTAATACTCGTGTCCTGCAATCTGCTCCTCGTTAATATAGCTTAGGATTGGGGGAGATGCCGTCTTTCAAAGGGTACCTTGAAAATGAGGACATGTCATTGCTTCCTTCAGTCATTTTGTAACCCTGTTGATGTCTGAGTCCTTTGGTGGTGCTGAAACCCCCTCCCCACGTGAGGTCCTAGAATACAGTCCCCGCACGGGGGGCGTCCTTGCTCTGCACCTGCGTGCAGTCAGCTGACTCTGGGTTCACACGTCCTCGCAGCGTCTGTTTGTCGTTTAGGTGTTTACTGTTCCTCCAACTCTGAAGATCGCCCTCACACTTCTTTTTTCTTTCGTATTTGTGCAGAGTCACTCACAGCCCCAAATATCAAGTTAATTGTGCGGCAAAATGAGAGGTTATTTTAGGTGGTATGACCTGTAGACCTATTAAAAATGGATTTTTTTCTATATTGCAACTCATATGCTTCAATATTTTATCATTTCTTTCTTTTTCTGTGTCTGGCTAATTAAATGGTAAATATCTTAATTACAGAAAGACTTGTTTGTTTAGAGACATTAAAATATGTAGTGGTACTTACATTCTTTCATCTTAACCCATTGGTAATCTTATCAGCTAGAGTACTGTACATTGTTACACTCTTGGTTGACATTTAATAAATACTAAAATGGTGATTTTTCACAGCAAAACTAATTTCTTTTAGAATTTTAGACGTTAGAAAACCTTTTTCTTGAGGTTGGGAAATCCCAAGAAGAGAAACCTTAAGTTTTCGATCACGTTTTCTGTAAAGCTTTCATTAATCTCCAAGTGATCATGGTGTTATTTCTTATGCTTCAGGTTTTTGTTTTTAATTGTTATTATGTTTTAAATAGAAATATGAGCTTCCAGATAATGATTTTACTGCTATTTGTCACTGTCATTTTTTATTCCCTATTCTTTCCTTCAGTGTTTACTTTGAGGATCATACTAAATTGTACTAAATTGCCTCTAGCATTTTCCAGTAAAAATCAACAAATTATGTTGGTTTTTACAGGAAATGGCCTTGTTTAAGGAAGTTAAGTCTCTCCAAATTATTCCATCTTACTTGGTACAGCCGTTAAAAGCAAACTCTTCGACTCACCTGGCAATGAGTCAGATGGCCCTCCTGGCCCGGCTGCTGAAAGACCTGGGCACGGAGAACACAGGCTTCACCGTGGATAATGTGATGAAGGTAAGCGCACCTTGTGCCCTGCGCCACTGTGGCCTCGGCACTGAGATGCTGCCTAGAGCATGGTGAGTCTGGTTTGTGTGTATTGAATGAAGGAAGGTGTGATCTCAGAAAAATTATCAAGGTTTCGTCTAACAAACAAATGCACCTAAGGTCTTCCTGCTGTTCCTTCTTCCACGCGTTGGCACACAGAATGTACAGGTTTTTGTCCGTGGCAGTGAGCAAGTTATAAAGAACGTTTGTCCGTAAGAGGCAACTGCACTATAATAAAGATTGTCAAGTATGTTGAAGTATGTACTTTTTGTGCTCTGGACAACCTAATGAAGCCATGGAAGTTACAGGAGAGACATCTCCTGCCAAATCAAAAATTCCCTACTTCCTGATTTAAAACGTGTTGAAAGTATAGCTCTGAGTGTGTAGCCAGCGTCTTGGCCAGCTGTGCAGATAAACTGCTGTCACAATGTTATGTTCCCGGTCCAGCCCGTGTGTCAGTGGAGGAGGTGGAGGTGGTGATTTAAACACCATCTTCCTTCTCTGTGGATTCCACGTATCCATCAACTCAGAGACCTGGATTTGGACCTGACACAATTAAGTTTACAATCAGGAAAGGCAGGATCATATAAGGCCATGTTTATTCATCTGTTTTATTCACAGAGGTATGATTTAGACACTGAAATAAATAAAACTTTTGAAATACTTTCTCCACTTGGCTTCCAGAACCCCACACGCCCCTGGTTCTCTCAGAGCGCTCAGCCTTCTCGTCTCAGTGCCTTACTGGTTCTTCATCTTCCTGACTTTTAAATGTGAAGAATCCAGGCCTTATTCCTCTCTTATTTGTATACACATACTCCCTGGATGACCTCATCCACACCCAGTCTCCCTCTCCAGCCCGTTTCCTCCCTGACCGTCTCACTCACCTCTGTTGCCCACTCAGCATCTCCCTGGGGCTGTCGGTGAGCCACACTCTCACCACGTCCACATCAGACTCCTGCCCGTCCACTCCGACCTGCTCCTTCTCCACCTTCTCCGTTTCCGTGAATGGCACTGCCGTTCTTCTGTTTGCTCAGGCCACACATCTTGGGGTCGTCCTTGATCCTTCACTTTGCCTCACACCTCCATCAGCAGGTGCCGTGGGCTCTTCCTTAAAATACATCCAGAACCTGACCAGGACTCACCCCTCCACTGCTACCACGTAGGTCCAGCTGCCACTGTCTCTTGCCTGGGTTGTTGTTGCAGACTCCTCAGTGGAATTCCCACGTTCGTCCTTGCCCCTGCAGTCTGTTCTCAACCAGCACTCCAAGAGGTCCTGTTAACACAAGTCAGATCAGGATGCTCCTCTGCTCAGACCTGCCATGCTCCTCATCTTACTCAGAAAAACAGTCTTTTCATTTCTGATTGCAAACTGCCAATTCTTTCCTGAGCTCATCTCTTTCTTTTGTAAAAAGGCCAAAGGCAGCCTGCTGTAGCTCGGATACACCAACACTCTGATTATTTCCATGCACTTCTAGCACCGCCAGCTCAGTAGGCCCCTGGTTTGCCTTCTGAGCTGTATTAGGCAAAGTTGTATCTACTATTTTGCTGTGTGTAACATGGATCACCATCCTTCCTGCCTCCAAGTTCAGTTTTCTTGTTCCCGCCACAGAAGCACGTTCTTGTTATGGCAGCACCCCACTTCCAGTTGCCAGCGTAAGCATTAGTTACAGTAAGCTGTGCTGCAGTAACAAACGCTGCAATTTCGGTGGCATAACACTAAAAGTTTATGGCTCCCCCTTGTCCTGGTCCAGTGCAGTTTGTAAGGAGAGAGGGTGCTCTGCTCCATGTGGGCACTCAGGGACTCAGTCTCCTCCAGGTATGATGCCACCAGCTTTTACACATGACCTCTGAGATCACTGAATAAAGGAACGTGACTAGAGGGTTGTGAGGGGGAGCTTTCTATGGACAAGCCACTCCCACCCACATTTCTGTTGACCAAGATGGCCCCATGCTAACTACAGGGGCCGGGAACTGTAGCATAGCTGGGCAGCAAGGAAGAGCAGAGGACTGGTCGTTGAGCTCATAGTCCTGTTGTGGACCATCTGAACGCTGGTGGGATTGACCCAGACAGAGGAAAAGGAGGAAGGAGAAATAAATAAAAGTAGGAGCTTGGGGCCGGGGTGGCAGGAGTTAACTGCAGGAGCAAAGTCTCTGAGTAACCAAAGGGACTGGGCTGCCATGCACACACGGAAGGGTCGGCTCATGGAGCAGGGACCAGTCATCCTCTTAACGGGAGGAAGTCAGCTCAAAGCCCAGAATGCGTAATGGAGGTGTGAGAGGTGAGGGGAAGTATGAAATGCTCCCCTTGACATTGGAGAGAGTAACGTTGCAGGTCAGTTTACTGTGCAGTGCCAAGGGCCCCAGGATATCTGTGGCTGTAAGTCCAGTGTGAAACCAGTCAGCACGATTCTCAAGTCTGCACTCACATTCCGCTTCGCTTGGTGAGTACAAAGAAAGAGAAGGGGTCCCGGATTTTCAGGGTGTGCATGAGTGCCAGAGTGAGTTATAATGATGGACCGTACTGTCCAGGCTGACGCGCGGGGCAGTAAAGATTTGAGGGAGATAACAGATGGGAGAAGACAGTAGTGGGTGGTAGGAGTGGACTGAAGGTCCCAATGGGGTTGAGGAGGGAGTACGAAAGAGTGAGCTGGGAAGGTAGGGGCTGATCATCAGAGGGCAGATCCTTAAGTTCTGTGCCTCCAGAGAGGGTGCAGCGATTGGAATGACAAGGTCTGGGGTAAAACCTAAGAGTGCGTGGCAGGCTGAGACCACGGGAATGAGGAGGCCCAGGAAGTGAGAGGCCGGGCACCTAAATGACCATTGGCAGATGTCGATTTATTTACTAAGCATCCTAACGTCAGTCTGGAATGGGATAAATATATTATGATAGGTTCGTAAGACAGAATACCATAAAGCAGTTAAAATGGATGAAATAGATCGTGATGAATGAAGGTACACAGATCTTGAAAAAGGAATGTTGAGTAGGAAAAAATAAAGTTTCAGAATGATAAGCACAGTATACCATTTATAATGTTAAACCAAAAAACTACGTGTACGTACACACGAACACACACACTCACGGATGTGTACGCTTTGTAGTAGACCAAGTCTGGGTGGGAGCGTGCGTGCCAGCTTCAGGAAAGCAGTGCCTGCAAGCAGGACAAGAAGGCAGTGGGGCCAGGGAGATCTCCAGCGGGGGCTTGCACAAGAGCCGTAGTGTTTTATTTCTTAACAACGAAAAGGTTGGGAACAAACGTGGCAAAATTATAACATTGGTAAATCTAGATGGTGGAGGCATGAAGTTTATGATATTTCCTCTTCTCTATGATTGGAATATTTTGTAATACTTAATATCGAAGTTTATGGAAGGATATAACCTAAAAGATGCTTGTTAATATGTTAAGTGGAAAAAAGCAAAACACAAATTATATATACGACATGAATTCAACCTCGAATGTAAGGTAAAGGAAGTGAGAAAAACTCTCTGTAACTTAATAGCTGGAATTCTTTGGATGTTGTTTTCTTTTTTGATATTTTTCAAATTTTTATAATGTACCCATATTTCTTTTATGCTGACAAAAATAAACTTCGTTGTTTTAAGAATCAATAACAACAAGAGCCCCTTCCAATTTTATTTTCAGTTTTCAGTGAGCGCCCTGGAGCACAGAGTGTATGAGGTTCGAGAGATAGCGGTTAGAATTATCTTGGACATGTATAAACAGCACGGGGCTTCTGTTCTTGAGTACCTCCCTCCAGATGACAGCACCACGCGCAAGAACATTCTCTATAAAACAATTTTTGAGGGATTTGCTAAAATAGATGGCAGACCTACAGATGCTGAAATTAGGGTAAGTTAATTTTTATGAAATTATGCTCAATCCTGTATTGAGTGAGTTATTTGTTACATGAATAAACTGACAAATTGTTCAAGGAGCCGTGTGTTCAGGAAACACAGCATCCTGGGAATCTTGGCTCCCTGGGTTCAGGGCCTGGCTCTTCTCTCTGCCTGTGATCTCGCAGTTTCCCCATCTATAAGTAGGAGGATGGTAGCTGTGAGGACGTTGGCAGTTTTATCTGTCAGTGAACATTTATTCAGTTAATCTGGTGAATTTACTTTTAACCCTGGTTTTAGTAGTCTTAGTGACTGTTATAATGTATAAGAAACATAATTTATATGCTGTAATTTGTCTCCCAATTTCTAAGACCACCCTAAAAAGCTATTCTAACAGAAAAATAATTTTCCTACCAGGCACAGAAAAAAGCGGCCACAGAAGAAGCAGAAAAACGAAAGAAAGAAGAAATTAAAGCTTTACAAGGGCAGTTGGCAGCCCTGAGAGAAGCGCAGGCCGAAGTCCAGGTTGGGAAGGTTAAATGTCTTGCATCAATCAGTATACTTCAAGTTGAAATCCTGTGACTGTTTATTTCGTTATGTAGATGTGCAGTGTGCTTGACTTACTTCTTGTGGCGTTTTGCAAATGGGCATCTTTATTCTTTGTTGTTGTTTTTAAATTGGTTTTGGGGTAAATAAAAGGAATCCTCCATTAGATGGTTTGAGCTCGCTGGCAGGTGATCATCCTGGCTCCTGTGTCCCGTAGAGAGGGGTGAGCTGCCATAAGTGTTTAGAGAGGAAAGACGGAGCGGCACAGAGCTCCTCTCCGCCCCTCCCCTCCTTCAGAGGCTGGGGGAGAATACGCTGGAGTCTGCAGGTCTGATGTCCATGCACTAAAAAAAGACTTGCAGGTAAATGTTGCACCACAGGAAGCCCTTGGTCCTAAGCCTGTGGAGACTCGAGTATGGGGGTCGGATGGTGTTGAGTGTGAACATGTCCCTTCCCAGCTGCCTGCGTCTGTGATTAAATTGATTTCATGGCACTGATTCTGTAATGAAGTTCCTTAAGTTGAAAGAAAATTTCTTTTAAAAAGAAAGAAAAAGGGCGAGGGAGTGGGGAGTTGCTAATCAAGGAGTATTCAGTGTACGAGATGGATAAGTTGCAGAGCTCTGCTGGACAGCGCTATGCCTGTAGTTGACAAGATCACCCTGTGCACTTAACAGTTAGAGGGCACATCTCATGGGAAGTATTCTTACCACAGTTTTAAAAAAAGGAATAGGGGCCGGCCCGGTGACATAAGAGGTTAAGTGCGTGCTCTCCACTGCGGTGGCCCAGGGGTCGCCAGTTCAGATCCCAGGCGCGCACCGAGGCACTGCTTGCCAAGGCATGCTCTGGCGGCGTCCTATATAAAATAGAGGAAGGTGGGCGTGGATGTTAGCCCAGGGCCAGTCTTCCTCAGCAAAAAGAGGAGGATTGGCGTCAGATGTCAGCTCAGGGCTGATCTTCCTCACAAAAACGAAAAAAAAAGAATAAAATTGTTTTAAAAAGAAGAAAATATGACTGAATATATGTTGAAGTGCCTGTGGCAAAGAGTCACAGTAACATTTCAACTAAATGCTGGCATGAGAGAATAACAGCAAGAAGAGGAGAAAAGAGGCCACTGAGGGGGACGGGGCGGGGCCAGTGCCCTATGCCCGTGAGAAATGGGGTTTAAGACTTTCACTTTCTATTTTTTTATTGTGGTAAAATATACGTAACATAAAATTTACCATTTTAACCATTTTTGAGTGTACGGTTCTGTGCCATTAAATACATTCATTGTTACAGTGACCACCACCGTCCATCTCCACAGCTTTTGTGATGACAGAATATTTTTAAATTGCCTCATTTCTCCTGACTTTTAGGAAAAAAGGATTTAAAATTTATTCGTCTGTTTTCTAAGTTGTTCAAAGCATAGGTAAGGTAAACTAAAATTCTGAAAACTAAAATTCAACCTTTGGCATTGTTTATATTGTCTCCCTGTAAAATACACAAAGCCATCTCTCATTAGCAAGAATTTTTTTGATGCCTAGAATCCAATTATGTTAAGTTTGCTTTCTTTACTCTTAAATCATGTGAACCCCCTTTGCAAGTTTAATGTTAATCTACTCAGTCCTCATCCAGTTCTAACATTGTAGTCTTATGTGTGTTTTTCATATTCAGTGATTGGATTTGATAGAAGTTACTTATTGTCATGTAAAATTTAATTTATTTATTTATTTATTTTTTTTTTTTTTTTGGTGAGGAAGATTGGCCCTCAGCTAACATCTGCCAGCCCTCCTCTTTTTGCCGAGGAAGACTGGCCCTGGGCTAGCATCTATGCCCATCTTCCTCCACTCCATATGGGACAACACCACAGCATGGCCTGACAAGTGGTGTGTCAGTGCGTGCCTGCGATCCGAACCAGCGAACCCCAGGCCGCCACAACGGAGCACACACACTTAACTGCTTGCACCACCAGGCCAGCCCCTAAAATTTAATTTTCTACAAATGTAGTAGACAGTGTCTGTGTTTGTAACACATCACTTAAATGCTAGTTATAAGGTGACCCGCTGTCCCTGTTCTCCCATAAAACTGAAAGTCCGAGAAGCCCCTTAGGTCCCCAACCCCCCAGGCAGGGATGGCTGGTCACCCAGACAGTGTACCTTTAACACATGTTCAGGTTTTCTGGAGACTATAGCAGTATTTCTGGTGGTCTAGTGGTTAAGATCTGGCGCTCTCACCGCGGCCCGGGTTCGTTTCCTGGTCAGGGAACCACACCACCAGTCTGTTGTCTGTCGGTTGTCATACTGCAGTGGCTGCGTGTTGCTCTGAGGCTGAAAGCTCTGCCGCTGGGATTTCAAATACCAGCAGGGTCACCCGTGGTGGACGGGTTGCAGCAGAGCTTCCAGACTAGATAGACTAGAAAGAAGGACCTGGCCACCCACTTTTGAAAAAACTGGCCATGAAAACCCTGTACATAGCAGCAGAGCGTTGTCTGATGTGGCTCTGGGAGGTGAGGGGTTGGTGCAGAAAGACCAAGCAGGGTTCCCTCTGCTCTCCATGGGGTTACGAGGAGTCGGATCGACTCGACGGCACTAACAACAAAAATAGCAGTGTTTAGAAGGCTGAGTGGTGGGAAAAACTTGATGAAGCGTTTCCCAAAGTTTTAGGGCAGGGACAGCAGACTGGGAAGAGCGCTGGGAGGCGGCTTGGGAGCTGCAGCCGGAAGGCCCGGCCCTGGAACCTACCGTGGGCCGTATGTCCCACCATGTGCCGAGGCTGAGACCCTCAGCCAGCGGGGAGACTCTGCTGCCAGTAATTAACCTTTTTCGTCCAGTCCACCCATGTCGTTAGCACACTTGACAAAGAAGCAAAGGAGTTTGGGGGAGAAGAGTGCGACAAATCACTGCTCGTGCTGCCGAGAGTCCACCTTGGCATAAAGAACTTTGTGACGCCTAAAGTACTCGTTTAGTCAACCAGTATGTGTTAAGCACTTACTGTGTGCCAGGCAGTGTTCTAGGTACTAGGGATACACCAGTGAACGGAACAGACAAAATCCCCGCCCTCGTGGACCTTTGCTTCCCATCATGGAGACAGACAGTACACGAGATCAATAAGGAAAATACATCATGTGAGAGGGTGGTACATGCTAAGGAGGAAAATAAAGCCGAGAAGGGAATTCTGAAGGGAGGGGAGCAGCAGGCTGAAAGCGTGTGGCGGGGGGGCCTCATGGAGAGGTAGTCTTGAGGAAAGACCTGGAGGAGATGGAGGAAAACCTCCAGATCATTGGTGAGCAGCGTGGGCATCGGAGATGAGTTGAGAGAGTGACTTGGAAGGCTGTCCAGGGTTTTGAGCAAACACCTTATGAGCCATTAATGGGGTCACTCTGGCCACTGTGCTCGGGGCCTTTGGAAGCAGTGGTCACAGTCCTGATGAGAGACGATGGTACTGGCGGTGGAGGTGGGGATAAGTAGTTAGACTTGGGGCATGTGTTGAAGTCAAGCCTACGGGATTTGCTGACAGTTCTGGTGTAGGTTACATGGGGAGAAAGCGGGGAGGGAGAGAAGTCAGCCATCTCCCCAGGTTTTGTGACCTGAGTAACTGGAGGACTGAAGATGCTGGGATCTGCGACAGAGAAGACTGAGAGGAGCAGGCTTGAGGGGAGAGCGGGAGTTTGGTCTGGGTAAATGAAGGTTCAGATGACTAGTGGAGACCCGAGCAGAGATGCTGAGTAAGCAGAGAGGTCCGGCGGAAGGCTTACGTGTCTGGTTCATGAGCACAGAGATGGTTTCAAGCCTGGGAACTAGGCGAGAGCAGCGATAGAGTGGGTCCAGGCGGCTGCATCCTGGAGAAGGGGCCCTGGCGTCAGGAAGGTGCAGCCAGTGAGGCTGTAGGACATGAGGCGCGTGGGGCGCCCTGGGAGCCAGACTAAGAAGGGATTTAAGGAGAAGGGCAGTGACAAATCCTGTGCTGTGAAAGCCCGAGGGAAAGAAATGAGGGGGGACATGATGATGGGTGAGCGACTTGGAGGAGGGCGGTGGCCTTGACAAAGATCCGTCTCCAGGGAGAGGGGGGACAGGATCCCAGAGGAAGGAGACTGCAGGCATTTGAGTATCGATGACTCTTTCCAAGACTTGTGTTATTTGTTGATAGAAATTCTAAAATAAACCTAAGAACATACTTTCAGGGTCACAATGTATCTTGGATAGACTCTCGCTCACACTGCCGCCATTTGTCCCTGATCTCTGTTTCTGTGTCTTAGGAAAAAGAAAGTGACGCTGCGAAGGTAAAGAACCAGGGTACGTAAAATGTGCATCATGCCAACTACCTGTCCGTCCACTCTCCTCATCCAGCAGAGGTCTGTTGAACACCTGCTGCCCCTCAGCCACTTCAGGGCTGCTGTGCAACACTGCTGCCTTTATTAACGCGTGTATTTTTAAAATGTGTGTCACAGCAAACTGGTTACTAAAAAGTTGAAAATAATTTCTACAAAAAGTTATTTAAATTGCTTTGTTTTTAATTTCTGTAGACAGTCAAGGAAGAAAAGCAGCCCCACCTAGTGCTCCAGAAGTTCCAGATAATCACTATTTGGATAAGTGAGTAAAGTTGTCTTTAACCCATTATAGAATGGCTGGAGGGACCAACCACACGACAGCACTATGAAATAAAGATATTCCCCCAAGTTCGCTGTGATTATGTAAACCCTAATTGGCTCTTTTGGCTAATTGTGAAAGCTAGGAAAACGGCCCTGTGAACTGATCAGCGTTAACTCTGAGTCGGATCGCGTTCCCTCTCTTGACCCAACAGAAGGTAGTGGCCTGCTTGTCAGAGTGCTGTTACAGGCACAAAGTTCACAGCGGTAAAATACCCTTTCCTGTGCGGCGGCTGAGACAAATCTACAAGGAATTTAAGGGAATTGTCTGTGTCTTATCTTTCCTTGTGACTTAAATATCCTTTCTGCTTGATTATGCTGAAAAAAGTTAGAATTTGAAGACATCTTAAGCTTTTCTCTCCAACGCCTCCTCTTCCACAGCACTTTGACAGAGGAGCCACCGGCCCCTCGTGAGTCCCCCAGTGAGGTGGGAGCCCGCCCCCGGAGCACACTGGGGGTAGGGGGCATGTGGCCGGGGCCTGCTGGAGTCGGGGAAGCGGAGAAACTCCGCCGACGGTCAGAGCAGCATGGGTGTTTCTAAGCCAGCTCTGCGCAGTCACGCACTCCTCTTCTGCTTTCTTGCAGTTTGTGTATTTTCTGTGGGGAGAGGAGCGAGTCCTTCACAGAAGAAGGCCTGGATCTCCATTACTGGAAGCAGTGTCTCATGCTGACAAGATGTGACTACTGCAGACAGGTCAGGTGCTGGGCGTGGGTGGCCAGGCAGGCACGTGAGCTGGACGCACAGTGCTTGAAAGGCCGAGTCACAAAAAAGCCCCGAGTCTGAGTATGTTCAGAGGGAAAGTTGTGGGAAAAGGAATTGAATGTATGTCACCCCATTTTGTTTTGGGTCGGTTTTTGTTACTTTCTCATTGACGTATACACACATATATAAACGTGTACACGTCATACCTGTTACAGCTCCCCAAATTATCACAAAGTAAGCACCCCTGTGTGACCACCACCCAGGCCAAGTACCCCTCAAAGTACACCACCTCTGCTCCCTAAAGGCATCGCCGTCCTGGTTTCTGACACCACAAATTAGAGTTTCTTGCTTTTTGAGTTTTATATAAACAGAGTTCTACAATATGCGATTTTTGTGTGTCATGTTTGTTTCCTTGCTTTGCAGTATTCTGTTGTTTAAGTACACCATGGTTTATCCATCTGTTCTATTGCTTTTGGAGTTTGGGGTGTCCAGTTTGAGACTGCTACAAGTGATGTTGTTGTATCCGTCTCCTGGCGTGCGTGTGAATGCACTGTGGTGGGTGCACACCTAGTTGTGGAATCGCTGGGCGTGCCAGTGCTCACTGTAGAGCTAGGGCCAGCCGTGCTGCGAAGTAGTCGTGTGTTCACGCTCCCACGGGGGCATGGGCCAGCTGCTCCACTCCCTCGCCAGCCGTGCGCCATTAGCCTTTCTGGCGGCACTCATCACACTCAGTTTGCATCTCCCTGTGATGGTCTGCCTCTTGGCCATGTGGCTGCCCTTGTTTGTAAAGCACCTTCTAGTCCCCTGCCCGTTTTTCAACTTGGGTCCCTGATCTTGTCTCACTGATGGGTGGTCATTCTTGACATATCTGGGTGCGAGTCCTCTCCAGTGTATGTACTGTGCCTGCCTCCTCCCACTGTGTCTGGCCTCTTCATTGTCCTGTGTATCCTTTTTTTTTTTTTTTTTTTTTGAGGAAGATCAGCCCTGAGCTAACATCCATGCTAATCCTCCTCTTTTTGTTGAGGAAGACTGGCTCTGAGCTAACATCTATTGCCAATCCTCCTCCTTTTTTTTTTTCCCCCCCCAAAGCCCCAGTAGATAGTTGTATGTCATAGTTGCACATCCTTCTAGTTGCTGTATGTGGGATGTGGCCTCAGCATGGCCGGAGAAGCCGTGCGTTGGTGCGCGCCTGGGATCCGAACCCAGGCCACCAGTAGCGGAGCACGTGCACTTAACCGCTAAGCCACGGGGCCGGCCCCGTCCTGTGTATCTTTTGATGAACAGAAGCTTTTAATTCTAATGTTGTCCACCTCATCAACCTTTCATATAGTTAATGCTTTTTGAGTCTTGTTTAAGAAATCTCTCCTACCCCAAGTTGTTCATCTCTTCTGATGCAGGAGGCCTTCCTCTTAATAAAGGGGGAGAACTGAGAGGAAAATGGCTTCTTCCCTCTGCCTTGGGACTCTTTCCCAAGCTCTGTCTTGCAGAGGAGAGCTCAAATGGACACCCTCCCCCCCGCAGCCTCTGCCATAGTTGCTCCTCAGCCTGGCAGTGCAGATCCCAGACCCAGCGAGAATGGTTGGCCTCCCCAGCAGTGTGTGAAAGTCCAGGGCATGAAGTTTTAGGGCATATATACGTCATCCTGTCAAAGACATCAAAGTGACAAGAGAATCCCGTGACACTCTTTGTGATCCTGTTTCTGTGCACATTCTCACAAATGGCAGGGAGCCGGGATTTGAACCCAAAGGCCACGGGTTTAACCTCTGAGCTATTCTGCCCCTGAGACAAGTACCACACTGGCACTAACTGTAGCTTCCCCCATCCCCACCCTGAGCAGTGGCCTTTACATGCCACTGAGATAACCGGACAAGATGGACATGGGGTCTTTAGCAAGTATAATAATGACTGCAGAAGCCCCGTGGGGTAAGTGCCAGAGGCAGCAGGTGTGCAGGCTGCCTTCACGTGTGAACGACCCAGGAAAACCGAACTGATCTTGATGGGCACAGGAACGGGGCACAGGCTGTGCAGGGCGGCCAGGGCAGGACACGCAGCCGCATTCTCAGCTCAGTTCTGTATTTTGGAATCCAGGTGGTCGAGATATCCAGCTTGACGGAGCACTTGCTGACAGAATGTGACAAAAAAGATGGGTTTGGAAAGTGTTATCGCTGCAGCGAGGCTGTCTTAAAAGAAGAGCTGCCCAGACACATAAAAACGAAAGAGTGTAACCGTGAGTGCCTCCTGGGGCCCCCGCCAAGAGCCCTCAGTGCCCCGTGTCCCAGTGTCCTCCCTGGGGAAGGCCCAGCTGTGGATGGGGTGTTAGATCAAGTGTCTGCCAGGCCGTCGGTTGACACATCCGGTTTTTCTGCCCTTTTCGAGTTTCACAGAAATAACTAAATCTTGTTTTATTGAAATCATTTCAGCTGCCAAATCAGAGAAGCTGGCAAACCGGTGTCCTTTGTGCCATGAGAACTTCACACCTGGAGAAGAGGTGAGGGGCCCGAGGCAGGGATGTGACCTGACACGGAGGTAACTAGCTCACTGCTAAGGGACGCTGGTGAAGTCCTCATCAGTGCTGGACCGCGACCGGAGACATGCTGAGCCCTCAGGGAGTAGATGGGTCCTGCTTTAGACCTGTTGAACAGTTCTTCCATTTACCTACCTGGTCACGCTGTCTCCTGACGGAACATCTATAAATGTCTCTCGGAGGAGTCTCAGCTCTGTGGGATATAAGCGTGAAGTGGTTTTCTTTTTTTCCGGTCATTGCTTTCATCTATATATTGGGGCCCTAAATGGCATCTTGGCCAGATTCTGTAACACTCTGGTCCCTTTTGAGTAATAAAGCTGAGCCCAGTCAGGTTTGGAAGTTCTACTTCGTCTCTGGCCCAGGCTCTCCTCCTTCCCCAGCGTGAGCAGCTTGGGGTGGGGGAAGGCGGGTCTTCCATTCCCGCCCTCTCCCTCCTCATGTGCCCTGCTCCTGCGGCATGGGGGTGGGACCACAGGGAGGGACCACAGAGACTCCGTGTTGGTTGTACTGGCTAACACGATGGCAGGAGATGCCCTCTGCGTGCCAGACAGTGATGCTGAGGCCCTGTGGGGCCCGCCGAGGGCCCAGTTTTGGAGACCTGCCTCTGGCTCAGCCACTTCCGCTCCATCCCCTTTAGCCACTACTACGCACAGTCCATTTGCTGCATCCTGCTGCTGGGCTCTCCTTGTCCCAGCCCTCTGGGATGTGGTGCCAGCAAGATGGCTCAGACCCAGCAACGGCCTGCAGCTTCCTCTTGACCACAGCAAACCCACATACAGAACAGCCACTTTTACCCTTTCATCCACGCAGCTGCCCAAGGCTCATTGTCGCTCAGAAAATGTCAGCCACATAACAAAGTACACCGAAGAGCAGAGGAACCGCAGGCGCCCTCCTGGCCCTGTCTCCCTGAATAACTCGCTCATAGACCCCTTGTTGCAGCCACCCCCCCCCCGCCTGCTCCCCTCTCATCTGGTGTGGAAGCACATTGAGACAGCAGGTCACTTCCTGTGTAAACGTCCCCCGACAGAGCTCTGACGTAAGGCCTTCTCCACGTAGCCACAAGAGCGTCACCTTAGCTTTGCAGGCGGTGCTCGCACTGCCAGTGACGTCATGATGTCAGGGCATGTGCTCACCAGGACCCAGAGAAGGCCCTCTCGCCCACACATTGAGATCGGTTGGTATGGTTTTAGATAGCTTCCTTCTCATACTCTCTTTTCTTACAATTTGATGCGGCGGCCAGTTGTCCTGTAGGGTTTTCCGTAGTGTGGATTGGCTGATTGCACCCCTCACGGTGTTGTTAACACGTGTCTCTGTCCTCTGTCGCTCCTGTGAATTGAAGGTTGGATCTATAGCCCAGTCAGATACAGGAGTGACTTTTCACACCTTTCTCTTCCTGTGGCTGCTTCACAGACGGTGATGGGCTCTCCGGAAGGAAGCACATGACGTGTGTGTGTGTGACGTGAGCAGCTGTTGACTGTCGAGGCCAGATCCACGAGCCCATTGGGGACTCTGCATAGTCTAAACGTCCTGCTTCTGCCTCCTCCTCCTCCTCCAGTAGCTGGCATGTTTCTTTAGGCAGAAACTTTCCCTCTTCTGCCCTTCAGTCTCCCTGGGCTAGACTTAGTACTGGAAAGGCGAGATAAATGTTTAATTCTCCTCCATTGTGGACTGGTTTTCAAGATAACAAGCTGGGTCACTACTGTGTTCCGGCAGAAGCTTGTCTGTCTGTTTTCGTGTTGTGATGAACTCGCGGTTGAGCTGCTTGACGTGCTGCAGTCAGCGTCCCCAGTGATGTGTGAGCTGTCCCGCCTCCAGCCGGGCAGCCTTGCCACATGGGCGCCACACACTGTTGAGAGGACCCTGCCAGGTGCAGAGCCTCCTGGCTGCCTGGTGTAACAAGGTTCCTTAGACCTGAAATCTGCCCTTTCTTCAGGGAGGCCGGGTTCCTCTGAGAGGAATTTGGTGTTTCAAGACCAGCGTCCGGTGCTTCAGATGCTCCCTGCTCCTGGGTCAGTCACGTTGCTGGCCTCTCCATGGACAGAGCCGGGGAAAGTGTGAAGACAGATACGTCTTAAGTTCACCCTGACGTTTCCGATTCAGATTCCGACCTGCCAGGGTTTTCTCCAACCTCTTCTGTCTCACATCTGTGTCTCCTTCCTTCCCTCCCAAGAATCCCGTTCCCAAAGCCCCTGGAGATGTTAGAATTAGAACATCTCAAATTACGCATCAGTGTTGCCCCCTTTGCACACAGGCCAGCTCAGACCTGCCGGCAGTGAGACGACTGCTGGGAATCCTCTCCCCAGTTCTTTCCGTTTTGACTGTGCTCACCAGTGACGTTGGGTCCGATGGCTCTGTTTACAGTCACTCGGAATCATCCCAGCTGGTTATGTCCCCAGCTGTTGACACATTTAGGTTCAATAGTTTCATCTTCATGTTCATAGTCAATTTTTAGGGGATTTTTGTTTGTTTGTTTTTGGTGAGGAAGATTGGCCCTGAGCTAAGCTAACATCTGTGCCAGTCTTCCTCTATTTTGTATGTGGGACGCCGCCACAGCATGGCTGATGAGTGATATGTAGGTCCGCACCCGGGATCCAAACCAGCAAACCCCGGGCCACCGAAGTGGAGCACACAGACTTAACCGCTACACCCCCGGGCCAGCCCCTGGGGATTTTTTAAAATTAAGTTCTGTAATTATATAGAATACTTGCATGGTTCCAAAATCTGTAAAATGAGGCACATGCAGAGAAGACCAGGTAGGAGCTGCTGTCCTGCCTCTGCTCACCGTTCCCTCCGCTTAGAGAACAGATTGTTTACGGTTTACCTTTTTTCTTCGACATAAGCAGCTCTCATATGCACACCCACATCCTCTCTCTCCCTGTTTATTTTTAGAATTTAGGAGCCTTTGTGTTTTTGTTCTGATTGCTACCTTTACACCAACACTGTCATATGCTGCCCGGTCCTCTGTGTGGCTGCTGTCTGTTGGTTCCCTACTCTGAGCAATGCAGACGTTAGCTGGCGGCCTCCTTTCCCTCCTCAGCATCGTGTCCCCCAACGTCTGATTTGAAGTGGTGGTCTCTGACCCACAGTAAACAGCTGTGAGGCAGTCACAGGCTTGTTCCACTTTCTATCTGCTGTCTCCATGTTTTAATCCTATGCTGCGTTAACACAGCACCACACATTTAGCAGCTTAAGCACCCGTCTGTTATCTCACAGTTTCTGGAGACTCCACCCAGGAGTCTGGGTACGACCCACCTGGGTCCTCTGCTCAGTGCCCCACAAGGCTGCAGTCACAGCGTCAGCCGGGCTGCATTCTTATCTGTGGGCCCGCCTGGGGAAGGATCCACTTCCAAGCCCGTTCCAGTTGCGGCAGAATTCTTTTCCTTGTCATTATAGGACCAGGGTCCCTGTTTTCTTGCTGGCTGTCAACCTGGGGCCACTCTCTGTTCCTAGAGGCCACCCACGGTCCCCTGCCCACGTACTCCCTAAATTCTATTCCACATTTGCACACTGCTCTGTGACAACAGTCTGAGACGTTGTGCTCAGAGGTGAGGAGAGCCAAAGTGCTGTCTGCAGGTAGGGAGTGACATGCAGGCCACCTTACCAGACCCGGGTGCTCCTGAGCCGTGCTCTGCATACAGTGCTCAGCAGCCGGGTGAGGTGCAGCTCAGGACACGTGGAGCGCTCGGGAGCCTCTCTTCCTGCAGCTGTAGCCGTGAGGCTGCCTCTGGTCTCGTCCTGGACGTGGGTTGTCTCAGATGCTGTGAGAGCCACCCAGGTCCCTCTCGGTTGCCTGGCTGACATACCACGTGCCTCCTCTTTCATTTCAGGCATGGAAAGCTCACCTCATGGGCCCCGCCGGCTGCACAATGAACCTGCGCAAGACACACGTGCTGCACAAGGCTCCGACTCTGCCGCTGGGTGAGGACCGGGCCTCCCTGCATGCCCTCCCTGCTCACCTGGTCAGAGGAGCCTCCCACAGCCTCCTTCTGCCCTGTCTCTGGTCCTGAATTAACGAGCAGGTCAATCGTGTGACCAGAATTCTTCTCGTTGGCACCAAACTCTTGCCGAAGGCTCTTTCCTCGTGACCCTGCTCTTTCCCGAGGCTCTGTGGGTGGCATTCATTGAGTTAACAAACCAAACCGACCGGGTGTTCTTAGGGGGCACACCCTGCTTCTCGGTGTCTTTCTGACCCCCACTCCAGAGGGTCTAGAAACGTGAAGTTAAATGGTGACCCATAGGTAGTGCTGCTACCTGACTGATAAATCATTTAATTTTAGCTATTTTATGCCAGACTTAGAATGCCTTACAAGAAAATATGATATTTTTCATTAGAAAATTATTCCTGACCAGAAGACCTTTGGATACACAACTTTAGTTTAGCGGTGTCTAAGAAACGAGAGTGTAGGGAAACGTGTGATTGTGCTCCATCTGTGCCGGCTGCGCTGAGGGCTGGGCGTGGCCGACATGAGGCCGTCCTCCACGACCTCCTCCTGTCAACAGGGAGGGCCTGGCCCGGGCCACCCAGCATGAAGGAAGCTCTAGTCACATGGCTGTTTGTTTTCCTCATTTCTGGAACCGAACTTTGAAGCTAATAATTAGGGAGATGGCTCCGTTCTCTTTCTTCTGACCCTCATGTCAGGTGTTCCTCCGAGCACTTAGTGCTTCCTCTTCTGCCGTCGCACGTGCATCTTCCTCGTGGCCCGTGGCCAGCGCAGCTGCGTCTCACACTTGCCCCGCTCAGCCCGGCCACCTGGGGGCTGAGTGATCGCTGTCCACTGTGCTGAACCTGCAGGTTCAGGCCGACCCCTAGATGGGTGATGAGAGTGTCACAGCCCTCATGTCCTGTTCCTCCCCCGGTGTCTGATGATGCTGGCCACGCGTCCTGTCACCAGGTTTTGTGCTCTGACTCGTGTGTTAGTCCCCTTCTAACCCAGGGCCCGTGTTCTGTGTGTTTGTGTCCACTGCAGGTAAAGGCCCAGCCATGACCAAATCAGGGAGCTCAGGACCAAAGGCCGGAAGCAAAATCCCTACCCCAAAGGGAGGCCTGAGTAAAAGCTCTGGCAGGACATACACAAAGCGATGACGCACACACCGTCTGTCTCCTTGTCTCCATGAGGGACTGAGCAAGTTTCCTGCTTGTGAACCATTTCTCCTAAAAACGATCTTTGGATGTGGCACCCCCTGTGCCCCACCCTGCCGTCCCTCCTGGCTGTGCTCGTCCTTACTTGTCGGCACCATATGTGGAACTGACCACAGAACAGGCCTCCCAGCGTTAGGGCCTGATCTCCCTGTAGTTTCAAGCTGTCAGGCTTCTGCCTTCTCAGGCCCTGTGTCAACAGAAGAGTAATCGTTCTGTTGGAAGAGAATCCGAAATCCTGGCGCAGGAGCTCACTGAGTGCGGTTGCCCGGGGCGGATCAGCATGTGAGGGACGAGGGCGAGCACAGCGTCCTCTTCGCACAGTTGCTTGGAGTGATTTCCATGGAAGCCTCACTGTAAGCCTCTGCGTATGGTCTCTCCCATGTGGGAGAAGTCCTGCAGGCTCTGCTCACTGGTCAGCAGTGATGAGACAAGAGTGACAGTGTGCACAAACTTCTCCCTGTGCCTTCTCCTCCCGCAGGCGCTGTCTGCTCAGCCTGCTGCCCACGGCGCCTCCTCACGGAGGAGGGCTGTCAGTACCTGCACAGCTGTGTTTTCCACTAGAACAAAAAATAAAGGTAGAAAAGCAGGAGTTCCTGAGACGTGGTCCCCTTCAGCACTCCCTTGCTAGGTGCTCCGTATGGAGTGCTCTCTCTCTGGCAGACCTCCCCTGGTGGCAGAGCCCCCTGTCCCCAGCCCTGCAGTCAGTCCCAGGGGGAACTGAGGTCCACACCCCAGTGCCATGCCTTTCCCAGGGGGCTGCACCTTCTTTACATGGGCGAAGTCCTAACCACAGTGAAGTGACTTCAGCTGGTCATCCAGGCTCGCCTGGCCGCGTGTGTCAGAACAGCCTGAACCCCTCGGGGCAGACGCGGCGTTGTTCTCGCTCCAGCACGTGCTACCTTCCCCTTGGTTTAACATTCACGAGTGAGCCTTCCACACGGACCCGCAGGCTCAGGCCATCGGGCTTAGGCTGTCACCCTGTCCCTCTCAGATCCACAGTGTAATCAGAACTGTGAGTCCGCTTTTCTCAAACACTTCGTATGACACTGAAAACACCAAAATGTCACTTAAGATGATGAAACCAAACCTCAAAACCCAGTCTCCTAACCAGCCCCTGCGCAGCCCACTATGCCTTGGAAGTGGTTCCCTTGCTTCACGTCCAGTAGCGGAAGGAAAGCTGCTGTTTGTCTGAAGTCGGCTTGGAGATGCTGGGTTCTCCCCGTCCACGCCTCTTCCCCCAGCGGCCAAGGCCACTGCAGACCAAGGAAGTTGGCCCTCCCGGTCCCACCCTGTGACCAGGGGTACACTTTCCTCCTGAGCATTACATGAGCAGGCTTTCTGAATGTCAGCTAGAGATGCGTGGAATTGATGAAATTGATACACAGTGTATAAATATTTTTAATTCCTAACCTTGTCAAACAACAAAATATATTTAAAAAACTAATAGCTATTTGAGCAATGTATGCCCTGAGTGTGTTAGTGACCATCAATTTGCACTAATCAATCTCCAGTTTTGGTAAACTAATACCTTCTCATATGGTTGACTCAAAATACAGCAAGAATAAGGCTGATCAAGAGAAGTACCTTCAAAAAAATGCTCTATTAAAAAATAAGTATGGAGGAGAAATAATGTGAACCTTTACTAGATAAGCAGGGTACAGATGCCAAGTTAACTGTAAAATGATCCTTCCTGGTTTCACAAAGATGCAGGCCACTATCTCTAATCCATGTTTAAAGTACAGATAACACACTTCTTTAAATAGAACAATAATGAGAAAGGTTAGCCAGGAAATTATTCTCTCTATCCAATTAAACTTAAGAAATATATATGTAATGTTTTCTATATATTGTAACTTAAGATATTTGTAAAAATATTTAATTTTTAGTGACAAAATTGGATGCATTTAAAACAGGTTAGACTTGCCAGTTACAGAAAAATCATGCATTTATGTTGAAATGACTCCTGGCAGTGATTAGTGGCTATTAAAAGCTTTACAGAGTTATATACTATTAAGGAACCAAGAATAAAGGAAAAAAACTGAAAAGGAACTGTAAGATCCCTTGGTCATTCATAAATAAATATCTAAGTTTGGAACAGTAATTAATAATTGAATTTTCATTCATGAATATGTTGTGGCTATTTAACAATATTTATTTCTATTATTTTCATATTGCAAAATATTAAATTTAATTTAAAAGAATTGTATCTATAAATGTGGCATTAGAATACAAATGTAAATACTTTTAATGAAAATTTGAAACCTTCTAATGTTTTGACACAGTTTTCTATTTGTCTTTATTTCAGGCACCAAAATTATAAAATCTCTCAGGAATATATTGTTCTGGTTGTCTTAGGGCTCAAGGGTTAACTCACCCTGAGAATGTTCATATAATAAAAACATCACTAAATGTTTTGTCACTTTTATTTCAAGATTATAATTAAGAAGCCGTTTGTAAATTACGTTTACTTTCATAAACATGGAGGTGTAGCCAGCCTGAACCCCAAGAGTCCACTGAGAATTGCTGAGACCGCCAGTGAATAGATGTTGCCAGGAGAGAGTTTGCTTCCTAAAATAAGTTGTCAAAATGGGTTTACTGCTGAAGAAGCTAAAAGATTTTAAGCTACATATAAATTAGAGAAAATTATTGACGAATTTTATCCTGTGGAATAAAATCAGAATGTTCTATAAATGCTCTCGTTGTGCCCATTAGAGGTTTATACTTGATAGTCTCTTCTTGTGTTTTTTCCCCTTTTGCAAGAGGGTGTGTGTATGTGTATATATATATATATATATATAGTGTGTGTGTGTGTGTGTGTGTGTGTGTGTGTATCAGGAAGACTGGCTCTGAGCTGACGTCCATTGCCAATCCTCTTTTTTTGCTGAGGAAGATTAGCCCTGAGCCAACATTCGTGCCCATCTTCCTCTATTTTGTATGTGGGATGCCGCCACAGCATGGCTTGATACGTGTGTAGGTCTGGACCCACGATCCGAACCCTCGAACCCTGGGCCGCCAAAGTGAAGTGCACAAACTTAACCACTACGCCGCCACCGGGCCACCACAAAAGGGTATATTTTTACCAGCCAACAAAGCTATTTTGCTTTTCAAATAAGTAAAAATGCTATATTTTCTCTGTAGATTTGTAGAGTGGTTTTAAGCTTTCATCAGCTTTGATAATTTTATAATTGTTTCCATTTTTGAAGTGATAATGTACATTTTTTTCCTTTACACAAATATATATTAACTTAAAACATGACATTACAGTTTAAGTAGGAAAAATTACTTTAAACATATCTTACTTTGGTAAGTGGAGTGTACATGGGGGGGGGCTTGCTGTGCGCTGGACAGCACGGGAGAAAAGAGCTCGCATTCCAAAGAAAACTGAGGGTGGTGCTCCCTAGAAAACTAGAGGTGAGCTCTAATTCCATCTGCTGGTCCCTGTCAGGGTTGACCAAGAGAAATCTGGAGTGTGCTACATTGAATTAGTGCTCATTTGTGCCATTGCTTGTTTGCTCTTAAAAATTAGATGGGTTCTAAAAGCAAGAGCTTGCTCGCGCGCTGTGCGCTCTTAACCGTGTGGGCGCCATCGCGGGTGTGTCCGCAGCAGCCTGCCTTGCTCCCGCCTCCCGTCGGCCTTGGGGTCTCCTCTCCGCCGCTGCCGCCCACCCCGGACCGGGAAAGCCCTGGGCAGGCCTGAGCCTCCTGGACCTGGAACGCTGGGAAGGCCGCTGCTGGAGGAGAAGGTAACGTCAGCGTTTGGAGCGGTGACCCTGGTGAGCCGCTGGGAGTAATTCAGTGGAGCGCCCTGTGCCCCTGGCGTGGCCGTTCTGGAATCCCACGAGGACCCTGCAAGGCACGTGGTGTCATCCCCCAGCGTAGGAAGGGAAACCCAAGCACTCACCGCGGGAAGGCAGTGCGCCCAGATGTGGACCCTGTGCTGTGCCTCCGCCGCCTTGCCCACCCCGGGGTCGGGGTGCAGGGAGCGCCCCCCAGCACTGTCTGGGTCCTGGCTCCTGAAAGGAACATGTATGGGAGGACTGTGGACAACAACTCGTCTCTGCCTCAGTTTCCCCCTCTGGGGAATGGAGCTGAGGGAAGGGAGCCCATGAGGCCGGCTCGGGTCGGAAGAGGCCCCACGTTCCTTGGGCGCACGATTCGCGCTTCCCACTCTCGGCGTGGCCGGGCCGCCGGCGCCGTCCAGGACAGGGAAGCCGGCGCCTCCCCTGAGCGCCGGAGCACCCCGCATTGCGGCGCGCAGCCTCCAGCCCTCACCCGTGTTAGGCTGAGCCTAGCGGGGGAGTGCGGGCGGGGAGACGGAGGCCTGGCTTCCATCTGCCCAGACGGCCTCGAAATTCCACCGACCTGCCCTCCAGCCTCCGGGGTTCCCCGGGGGTGTCTCCTGGGGAAGGACAGCCACGGGACGTGGGATCAGACCGCCTCGCCTGAGGGTCTCTGAGAGCTCGAACCTCAGCGCGGGGAGTGATGTTCCCACAGGGAAAGCGGGAAGGGAATGGGGTCGGACTCTGGGCGGCTGAAGGCGACTCCCTGGGAGTAGGCTTGCTGCCGGGTCCTCCCCAAACGGAGCCCCCTTTCTCGGCCCTTGTCCCCAGGAGCATGTTCTACAGTCACCTCCAGGCCGCTCACCTCGCCAAGGCCTGTTTGATGCCTCCCGGTGTCCCAGGACGAGTCCTGGAAATGGAGGGCACACCTGCCTGAAGGTGGGGGACATTGCTGGAATCACTGCCAGTGTTCTGGACCGAGATCTTTCTCTCCCCACGGATAAGGAGCACGTTGGGAATGCTGTTTACCAAATCCTGGGATCCTAAACTGGGGCGGGGGGAGGGGGATACCCCGGTGGTTGGAACAGAAGCAGAAGGGTGAGCGCTGCAGGTGTCCGGGGATGCTGGCTCCCGGGGGGCCTCAGCCCCCTGCGGCCTCGGGGTCAGGGTCGGGGACCCGGGTGGTGTCGGGGCTGTGCCCGGCGGGCAGAAGCGGGGAGGCGGTGTAGGTCTGGGCTCCGCCTGGCAAGACGTGGTCGTCGCCCTGGGGTCTGGCCACGCTGTCCCCAGCCTCCCCCCCCCCACTCCCTACCCCCAC